TCCTCTCTTACTTTTAGCTTAGCTAGAGTAGCAACAAGGTTGCTCTGCCCATGCCACTGGTACCAGTTCTTCGATTGTTTTGAAATCATTTCCAGTGCTTCCATTACATTAATTATATCGTAGATGCGACGACGATTGATTCCAAGGGAATTAGCAATCATCTCAAGACTGAACTCCTTACCAGGGCCTATCTCGTCCTCGGCTACCTGAAGAAACCTAATATATATTTATTAAAAAACACATTTAAGATAAAGCTATAAGTATAATAATATACATGTAGTCATGTACATGTATATACACACATAAAAATACATTTACTACAAAGTTTATGCAAGTGGATGTGAATGAATAAAGTTGCATCCTATAAGCACCTGGCAGTGTAAGCATGCTGAAACTATATACAATCAAAACTAGTAACATGATACTGGCTGAGCTCAATATAGCATTACAGACTGTTGGGACTGAGGTAATGCTCATGAATAATTATAGTACACATCTAGACTAAGTGGCATATTGAACTAAGTGGCATATATTCATGACTACACCAGTACATAGAAACATACAACTGGACATGAACCTCCTACCTAATATAGCTAGGAGTACCTATAAACATTAAAGGTACCAGGGGACTGAAAGCAAAAAATAATTAAGCATGCAAGCAGGCAAAATACTACATATGTATATACTGTATAGCCACTATACATTATTAGCATGTACATTGTACATGTATAGCACATGTTAATTGTTAGTGCTATTGTGGTGGCTCTATTGTTACAAATGATACTATATAGCCAATAAAGACAGCCTTTTTACAAACTTACTACACAATGATAAGGAATGATAAAGACATCAAAAAATAAGTGACATAAGGTACTGAAGAATAATTGCAAAGGGACAATTTTGGCAGTGAAACATGTGGTGGTACTCAAATTTGGCATAATGTTCAAAGCATGCACACTATACGCAATGAATAAAATTACATTATTAAAGCTGCCAATAAGTGGTCATTAGCAATGTGTACATGTGCTAATTGTCTAGCTAACCTTTTACATAGTAAAGCTAGAGATTTCATTTTCCTGGATGAAGCCTCATCATCTCTATCAGAATGATTATCAATGAGACAGGAGCCACTGGTTGCTGCTGAATTTGCATTCTCCATCTCAAGAGCTGAATTAGCTGCAGCTACCAACATCTTAAGATTAGCAGTAGGAGTCAATGGGGTACCTGTAAAGTATAAGAAATAAAAATGTACATGTACATAAAAGCATAAACAACACAAGATACAACATGGACATGTAGACAATGAATGCATTACATGTACATGTACATGTAGACAGACAATTAATGTATTATTATATAACATGTTATATTTATATGAAGCAGTTTAAAATTCAAACCTGGTTGATTCCCTGCT